GGAAGGGGGAGAGGGGGAGAGATTGAAATCACTGTAGAAGAGAAGCTGACCGTATGTCTTTTATCCCTACTTAAATGGGACCATACCTTTTATCTCTAGTTCAGCAAGGAAGCACTGTATCCATGTATAGGTACATTGCAAGGGATCCACAAAAAGCTAAACTTTTATAGCTACTTAAGAAAAACTAGTAACTTACCGAGCAAGTTGCCACTGCTCATCCATATAAAAGTTCACTGGTTCAATGCGGTCACTCTTGGCATAGTGAAGTCGCTTGGGGAGTAGGTGTTTCATGTATGCTTTGAAATGCTGATCTGGGGCTAAGCACTGAAATGTTGACATTAATATTCATGTTGTTTCTAATATTACACTTTTGCATCATAAGTGTTCCCATCTATAAATTCTCAAGTACATCAAGCCTGTTCAAATGCTTCTTTCGAAAACTTTATTTATTTACTATTGCACTTCATTTATACCCTGCCTTTCTCAGTGGGGACTCAGAGCAGCTTACATCCTTCTCCTTTCCTCCATTCTTTCTTTGCAACAGCCCTGTGAAGTGGGGTAGGCTGAGAGTGTGTGACTGGGGCCAAGAGTGGGGCTTTGAAGCTGGGCCTCCCAGCTCCTAGCCTAACCATTATACCCTGCTGGCTCACCACACACGAGCCTCTCTGGCGGAAGCTGCTCCTTCTCAACTCTGCATGTATATGTGTGTACATATATACAAACAACACCCTGAGAGCTTCCTTCCTGTGATGCAGTGGCATGGCTCTAGGAAATGTGTTTGAACACCACAGTCACATGGGTAGGCGTGGTAGCATCAAGATTTCTCAACCAGCTGGGAAACACAATGTCATTAAAGTGGGAACAACGCATTCTCCAGACCAATGGTATCACACCATGGGGGGAAATAAAGTAACTACAGCTGTCAAAAAGAAGGTAATAGAGAACATTGAGGGTTTTGTTGATCTAATCTAAGGTGCTAGCAGACAGCTCCACCAAAAAAGGCATTAATCCCTTTATTTGGATAGATGATGCACACATGTGAAAGAGCAAGCGGCAATCTCAGAAGAGGCATTCCCATGTGTGAGAGAAGGGAAAATGCCTCTTCTAAGAATATGTCCAATACCCCTGATTTTGTAAGTAATTACATTGGACATAACTCCCAGTTTAAGAAAAAAAATCTGCTGCCCAGTTCACAAACAGAATCTTTTAAATCAAATGATTAAATTGCAGCTCTAAATGTAAGAAAAAGTCATCAGGAGTCATATATGAAAAAACAATACTTACTGTTAGGCTTCTGACAACTCCTTCATAATCAACTGGAAGAGTTAGATGAAATCATTAATTACCTAAAGGTTAAAAGAAAATGAAAATAAAAGACTTCCTAATGAGGAATGGCAATTTAAATACTGAATAATATTTCTTCTCAAATTAACATCCTTTTCACCACCCCACAGCAACATCATAAGTAATTCTATCACATAATACTTATTTTTGAAAATGTTTATATTGCTCTTGCCCAAAACATGTGGACTCAGCAAAGCATAACATAGCATGGAGGTATTCAGGTGGGAGTAGACAGTAGCACTATAGAGTGGCACTAAACTGGCTTGGTTGAAAAATTCCCTCAGCCTTCTTCTTGGACTGCAAGCCATTAGAAAGTGGCCAGTAAATGATTCAAACAATTGAAGTTTTTAAATAAATACAAACAACATGCCAATGAAGTAATCATGAAAGGCTCAGAAACAATTGAAATTCCCACTGATATGGTGTTATTTGCGTGACCAAGGCACTGTTCACATATTTATGCAGCATAATTATTAAAAAGTTGCACCTGCTTTGTATTTTTTTCATAGAAATTAACAGCAGCCATTCACCTGTGTGGACCACAATACCATTGAGAGTATTCCTGCCTTCCCTGCCCATGTAAGGATTGTTGTTGTTCTATTTCACAGCTGACTGGCCCTCCCCAGTCCATTTGCTTCACTTTTTCTAATAGAAGTGAACCATTTTCTAATACGCAATATATTAATTGTCTAATATATTAAGTTAAAGAAAGCATTACTTCAGAATGAAAACAACATTACTGGTTTAAACTACATGCCAACAATTAAGGCAAATTCTTCCTAATATCAAAACCTATACTAAAAGCTTAGAAGCCACAATCACTCATGTTTCACTTTCCAAATACAATTGAGCTTACTTCTGGGCAGGGCTGCCAGAAGTCACTCCTGTTGCCTGCTGCCACTAATCTGAGTAGTGGGGGGAGGGATTAAAAAAAGTGGTGCCAGCTGTGGTGTCACATCACTTCCAGTAGAAAAACAGGGTAATTCTAGGTATTGCTGTAAACAATATGGTTTTGCCACAGAGTTTCTGCCAATTTCCAGAGCTACCTATGTTACTTCTGTTTTGTTTTGATTTTTTACTTCTTCTTTTTTTTTACCAGAAGTGACAGGATACCACACCCAGCATCTCAGGGTCCCCCCCCCAATATCCCCATCCACAACCCTCCCACCAGTTGCCTGCCAACCCTTCTTTGGGGCTATTAGACACAATGACAACTACTCAAAACTACTAAAATTATCAGAAGGATCCAAGTCATGTGCGATCATTAGCAAAACATCAACATCTACACTTAATCTGAGCCAAAAGGCCAAGAAGTCATAACATCTTAATTTTTCACCCTTAGATGTCATGTCTCAGAGCATACTTTATAAGATGATGTTAAATCAATTTTAAATCATTCTGGATGCAGATGATGAAAGCAATCATTTATTTATGCATTCAATTTCTCTCTCAATCCTATTTTTCTCTCCAAAAATCAGGAAGCAAAGGTAGGCCATTCCCAGGATTGAAGGGCAAGGGAAGCTCATCATGGATGTTTTACTATTGACCTTGGTTGTAACTACATGTACTTTCAAAGAATACATTGAATTTGAGCATATTAGACTAACCATTACATACAAGAGAAATACTCATCTGGAACATTGCTTGGTCTTAAGCGAGCTGCAGGGCCAGGTACTACAGTCAAATCCCCAACATAATCCAAGTATGTGTTCAGGTATGCTGCTTTACTGCAGCTAGCTTCCTCCATCCCTTTAAAGAAAAGATAAACATGATTTTAAAGAATCAGCCAGTTAATAAATGGATAGGTAGCTACCTCTCAAACAATGAAAAAATGTAGCTAACCTTATTTAATTAGCAGTAAGAAACAAACATAGAAGGATGTGAATGGACAATTGAACAAATTTGGTAAACTGATTTTTAGGAGGGGGGGTTCTTTCCACTTTGCTTCTGAACTCATTTACATGCAAGTTAGTCACAATTATTTTAACAGGAATCATGACCAAGTAGGGGCCTAGCTAGAAATGTCTTTGGGAGTTCCATGTTAGCATTTTTACTCTGAAAATCTATAATAAAGATAAAAAGACTGGGTTTAACGACAAACTAACTGAATTAGAAAAAACTCTTGTATTTTCGGATGATAAACTGCTAAAGAAAATCTATAAAATTTTGGTAGAGGACTTGTTCTTAGATGAAACAGTTAAGCAAAATTGTAGGATTCTCCTGCCTGGAAATTGGGAACTGAAATACTTATACATAATGAGAGCACGAGATGGAATCTGTTTACTGCTTAATGATGCAAGAATATGTGAATAAACTGTTGGAGACGGCTGAAAATGACAAATTGTCATCGTTGATGAGAGGCACAACAGACCCAGCATTTCAAAAGACATGGAAAAAACTGTATGATTGATACAATATAAATGCATAGCTTAAAGTAATGAAATTTTTGGTATTATTAATCTTTTTAAGTTAAATAGAAACTATGGTAATAAAAAGATAAGAGTATACAGAAACTTAAGCAAATTTATAGAAATTCTTTAAATATGGTAATAGAGATAAGAAAATATACTGATCTCTTTGTATGTTTTATGTGTGTAAGTAGATGTTTGTTATGTAGTATGTTTGTTTGTTGGTGTATAATATGAAAAATAATAAAAGTGTACCTTATGGGTACTTAAAAAAAAAGACAAGCTGCACAGAGGATTGGGGCTGTGGTGTGGGGAGAGGAGATTAACCCTTTCCCCTGGCACCATTTTTTTCAACCTGAAAGGGTCATCCAGTTTGCCTCATTGGGGCAAACATGCAAGTACTTTGTATGTTGCCTGTATGTTTGCTCCAGCCAGGCAAACAGTAGCTCCACAGGGCTATTTCAGGTCAGGAAAAAAGGATATGGGCTCACAGTCTGAACTGAGATCTTGTACAGCTTATTTACAACATAAAAATGTTGTCACACCTTGCTAGCTTCTCAGTGCTTAAGAGAGCAATCCTAGATGGGCTTACTCTGAATTCTACTACAGTCTATTCAACAGGGCTTACTCCCAGGAAAGTGTCCTTAGGATTGTGCTGTAAATGATGCATACATGTAATCCTAAACAGAGTTACCCCTTTCTAAGCCTAAGAAGACTTAGGCCCCGGGTCACACGGGAGGATTTCCCCCCCAAGAGGGATGGATCAGGAGCACATAAAGCGGGCGCGATCACACCGCAACATCTGGGAAGCGTCACGCACCCATCCCCGATCTGTCCCTTCAGCCCGAAAACGCGCATTTAAAAGTCAGCCCGAAAACGTGCATTTAAAAGGTACTAGCAACAGAGCACTACCTTTCGGATGATGCGCGGCAATTCCAGGCGTCTGGTCGGGGAAGTGCTGGTAGCCCGTCGCAGCCAGCGCCGTTCCCCGTCCCATGCATGAGCACAACCATGCTACTGCACAACCGCAGGTGTGCGATCTGACATGCCCCCGCGGCTCTGTGCTCCGGCAGCCGATCACACGTGTGATTGGCTGCCGGAGCACGGAGACGCAGGGGCACGTCGGATCACGCTCCCGTGGTTCTTTTTGCTCCGGCTCTAATTTGCCTCCCTTTGGCAGCGGATCATCCCGCTCGTGTGACCGGGACCTTAGAAGGGTATAACTTTACTTAGGGTTGCACTGCAAGTGAACCTGCACACATATGTAACTAAGTGGGACACCTGCACCTTGCATGATCAGTGATAAAAATATATAAACAGTTTTCAGACTATTAATGCTTTAGAGTTGGCATCAGGCGTGCTTACCTTCTTTTTCTGAATGGCTAAGTCTTAGAGTATGGCTAAACTCAGGGGTCATTTCGTAGAAAATATAACTTTACTTAGGGTTGCACTACAAGTGAAGCTGCACACATATGTAACTAAGTGGGACACCTGCACCTTGCATGATCAGTGATAAAAATATATAAACAGTTTTCAGACTATTAATGCTTTAGAGTTGGCATCAGGCCTGCTTACCTTCTGTTTCTGAATGGCTGAGTCTTAGAGTATGGCTAAACTAATTGAATTGGAACAGCTGAGAGACAATATGAGATACGTAAAGATAAATATGGTGTTTTTTTTATTCACTTCATGAATGTGCACTATGATCCAAATATTTATTTGATATTATTCTGTTTTGTATTAAGTTTATAATGTAAAGGTTAAAAATTACATGGCTTTTCAATACATGTGTTTACAGGAGATGATCTATTTATATTTCCAACAGAAAAACTTTTTAAATATGCACTACTTAAAAGATTACTGTTATCAAAAAGCAGCATAAAATGTGCATGTGTAAAACTCTTTTTTACTCTCATAAGGCTCAAAGTATTGGGGCGAAGTGTCTATCTTCCCGCTCTACAGTAAGATCTATGAGATTTGGGAGCAGATCTTTTTCTAGCTCAGCACCAGATATGTTTGTGCTTCTCTCTGTCTCTGGGGTACTCTGAAGACTAACTAAAATTGTTCTGTTCAGGTGTCTCTCCAGTTTGATACTGAGGGCTATGATAGGTTAAGACTGAAACAGACTGACTGGCCCTTAGGATTGCCACCTGGAGATTTGGGGGGTGGAGACTGTGGAGGGTGGGGTTTGGGACTTCAGAGGGGTATGATATCATAGAATCCACCTTCCAAAATGGCCGTTTTCTCCAGGTGAATTGATCTCTGCCACCTGGAGATCAGCTGTATTCCCAGATCTCCAGCCACCTCCTGGAGGTTGGCAGCTTTCACTACTTGTGGTCATTCAGCAAGCTTCACAGCTGAGCAGGAACTTGGGTCTCCCCAGTTCTAATCTGACACTCTAACCATTACTTAGAAGAAGAGGAAGAGAAGGAGGGGGAGGAGTAGTTGGTTTTTATACCCTGCTTTTCACTACTTGAAGGAGTCTCAGAGCAGCTAACAATCGCCTTCCCTTCCTTTCCCCACAATAGACACTCTGTGAGGCAGGTGGGGCTGAGAGAGTTCAGAGAGAACTGTGACTGGCTCAAGGTCACCCAGCTGGCTTCATGTGGAGGAGTGGGGAATCAAACTGGGTTCTCCAGATCAGAGTCCACCACTCTTAACCACTACAACAAACTGGCTCTAAGAAAGCACCAGTGATAGAACTGAGGACATAATAAATTTTATCTCATGTTAAAAGCTTTTCTCCTATTGCTAGAAAATATTCTTACTTTAAAAATAAAATGACCTCAGAATGTTAGTCTGACCTGAATGCTATATAGCTTAAATAAACTTACCATGATCAGAGAGAAGAAGAATGTTAATGCAGTTGTGCAGGTTCATTTGTTTAAGACCATCCATCAGCATCCCAACCACTTTATCCACTCGCTGTAATGCAAGAATGACCTGCAAGACAAAAATAAAGACAGGCAAGACAGACATTAACTTAACTTGCAAGCCATATTTAAAATCTATGGTTCTGAAAGTGTTCGAGAGCAACAAGTTATTCATAGGAAATATCCTGGACTAGAATTGTATTATTTTTTGTAACAACGATAGAAAATCACTCTACTGATGGCATATCTAGTTAAAAGAACTTAGTGATCAGTGGCATGTATCTGAGATGTTAAAAAAAGGCTTACAAAAATTAAAGGATACCCACAGAATTATGCAAAGCCTCAGGAATATGGTTGAATAAAAATCTCCCATTTTTAATAGTAAATCATGGAGATTAATTCATGTTCATTTTATATTTAATATACCAATTTAAATATATATATTAGTGTTAAAAACTGTGATATAAAGCATTATCACTGACTCACTACAGAACTTATTTAAAAGCAAAAAAAAAATCCATTTACTTACTTCACTGCTGATTGGTCCATATCTGTGGCCTGAATGATCTGGTTCTTCTAAATACAGAGTGTAAAAGTGTGGTCTATATCAAACAGTACCAAAATTTTAATATTTTACATATAAACTGTGAGAAGTTATGGAATTTATATAGACAGCATTTGTTAGAAACATCTGAGCAATAATAACAACAAAAAGATATGAGGCACCCAAGGACTTACATCCCAGCCATATCTCTGTATAGTCAAACTGGGTTCAATGGGCCTTACTCCCAAGTAAGTGTGTGTATAAGATCACAGCCTCACTGTACAACTCCATCAAAATCAAACACTTTCATGACTAACTGATTTCACTTGGAAAATAAAGCTTGTGTTTAACATCATTCCCACTGAAATCAATAACTTTGGATAACTTTCTTTTGCACTAAGACATAACGTGTCATGGGCAAGATCCCATCTTATCATCGAATGCACCACCTTCATCTTCCATGCCACAATGGCTGCATTCTGACATCATGACAAACTGTGACTTTTCTAGAAATGTAGTCCTCTTGTTTAGTTATCACCAGAAAATGGGGACAAGGAGAGAAACAGAGGCTGTTTTCTAAGAAATGTTTATGCAGCACAAAGAGCACAAGATTTTTCTGTTGTTCTATGCCAGGGGTGGCCAAACTGTGACTCGAGAGCCACACGCGGCTCTTTCACACATGTTTCCACCACTTTCCTTCTTTCTTTCCACCTCTCTCTCTCTCTCTCTCTCTCTCTCTCTCTCTCTCTCTCTCTCTCTCTGACAAATAAATATCATTAGCAAACAAATAAATATCGGACAAATAAATATCATTATCAATATCTGTTTTTACCCCTTTTGCTTTTTTTTGGCAGTCTCATTTAATGCTAGTAAAAAGCAAATGTGCATATTTTTAAATTAAAAACATGTTTGTAATATCTGTTCATGTCTTGCAGCTCTCAGACATCTGACGTTTATTCTATGTGGCTCTTACGTTGAGCAAGTTTGGCCACCCCTGTTCTATGCAGCCATCTCTATCCAGAAAGCTGAGAAGGGCAGAACTGCTTAATGAACCAAGATTCTGAATTCAGACCTCAGAATGATCAGAGATTAGTACCAACCAGAGTTAATAAGCCAAGTACAAACTGTGCCTGTTTAGCGCCCACCATTTATGTGTCACAACACTGCAGTTCAGACCATCTGAATGCAGCCACTAAATTGGTTAGTTGTTAATATGCAACAGACAAATTAACAAAAGTTATACTTAGAGAGCTATTGACTAATAATGAATTAATATGCTATGACAAATTAACAAAAGTTAGAGAGCTATTAATTGATTAAGTGTCTCACAAGAGATAAAGCTTGAAAAATAGGCTTTACTTGGTTGTGTATTGTGTTGAATACAAATATTAAGAAATGCATGGTTGTTGTTTTTCTAAGATTCTAAACATGTACCTTTTATCTTCTGGTAACTGTAGCCAACTAAGAAAAGTTGTTACTCTTTCTTCAAATGGTATTGAGCTAAAGCAAAAAGCAAAACAAGCAACTTAACCAAAAACTGTGATATGTATTACTTAACCTAATTTATCTGCATATTTAAAAACTGCTTATTATTAGATGAAGTTTTTGTTGTATCTTGAGAACGGTTTGTAGTCTACATGTTTGTAGTAATGTTCTTCCTCCTTTGTTGGCTGTGTGGTTCACTTGATACACGGATAATTAATAGTTTGCAGGAATTTTCAGGCACTGAGAAACAATCCTGAGTTGCAGAAGAGGAAGAAGAACATTGTATGGACCAGAGACAAGGAACGGGAAAAAACAAGTGTTGTTTGAAGAAAGCAGAAAGACTTTTAATGCTGGCTTTTTAACGTTTTCCTCCTGTTCTGTTTTTGTTCTGGGTACCTTTATGAGAAAATTTTGTTTGTTTTTTAAAGTCCCTGGAAATTAACAGAGCAATCCTAAGAAGAATTATAGCCTTCTATGACCAATGAAGTCAAAGTACTTAGAAGTGTGTAACTCTGCTTTGGACTGGAAGAATTCTTTTGTTTTCCTTGAACGGTCAGGACCCATTTGCTGGGAAATTCCACTAACAAAAGCATTTTAAAATGGCATACCTAAAATGGATACATTAGGTATACAACTCTGTACTGTAACTTGATATCTCAGGTTTATAGTTAATTTAAATCCAATATCTAAGCTCTGGGGATTGGCAAATGCAAGCTTACAATAGGAAAGGTCAACTGCTTCAAAAACGCTACTTTAAAAATCATGAAACTACAACAAATGTTGGTTCCGTTCACACTGGTATTTTGGCCGGATATAGGCACATTTCACAAACTGATTAAATGGGCCCGGTCACACAGCCACATCTGTCAGGCGTTCCCCGGGCATACTCACCCTGTCAGAGGATGACTTGGAGCCGGGTTAAAAAGCCACCACCTCCAAAATTGTGTTTTTGTTTCCCCGCGCATTCATTGTGCATGGCCGGATGTCTGAACATGGGGAAGCACACACAGAACAGATCTGGCAGTCTGAACCTGGAGATCCATTCTACTGCTAGGGAGGTGCCTTTTTTAAAAAAATGCCTATATGCGCATGTACTTCTATGCGTGCACATGACTTTTGGAATTCTTTTGGAAGGGTGGTCCATGGCTGAAGCACTGCAATAATGTGGATGCTTTACCATGGGATGTCTCTGTGGGTAACCCACAGCAGGGTGTGCTGCGTGGTTGATATGCCCCACAACACCTTAAACCAGTTCAATTAGAGGCGGCACCATATTGCGCCAAGCCACCAGTGTGGGCACGGCCATTGTGTGGGTGTTTCCAAAAGGTTGGCAGGTAGATATGATGTGCTAAGCTTTGTGATTGGATTGAAGTTGTGGAGACCATTTAATAGAGTCCCACTGAAATTAACTGGACTGGTAGTGCAATCCAATACAGAGATACAACCAGGGGTCATACGGGGCCAGAGCACGCCGGAGCACCACTCCGGCAGCCCAGGAGCTGGCACAAATGGCAGTGGTGGCAAGTCCTGCCCCCAGCTCCACGCGCCAAAGCATTGCGGCCTGGGGGAGGCCTGAAGAGGCCCGTCGCCGGCCTCCCCGGGCCTGCGCTAGTGCGCTGCGGCCCGGGGGAGGCCTGAAGAGGCCTGACAAGGCCCGTCTCTGGCCTCCCAGGACCTGCGCTGGAGCACTGCAGCCCGAGGGAGGCCTGAGGAGGCCTGTTGCCAGTTTGCCGGGGCCCACGCTGGAGCACTGCGGCCCAGGGAAGGCCTGAGGAGGCCCGTTGCTGGAATACCGGGGCCCGCGCTGGAGCGCTGTGGCTTGGAGGAGGCACATCGCTGGAGTCCCGGGGCCCGCACCAGAGCGCTGCGGCCTGGGGAAGGCCTTGATCGTAGTGAGGGATCCATGTGAGTGGGGATGGTGGGGGCTTGATGGGGGGTGGGAGAGCCTTCCTTCCTCTCCCCATCTCTTTGCCCTCTTTTTCCCTCCATTTCTTCTCTCCTTTCATTTTGTTTCTCTCTTCTTTTCTTCTTTCCTTCCTTTTGCTCTTTTCTCTCTTTTTCTCCTTCTTTCCTTCTATTTCCCTCTTTCCTTCTCTCTTTCTTTCCCTTCTTTCCTTCTCTCTTTCTTTCCCTCTTTCCTTCTTTCTCTCCTTCTTCCCTTCTCTCTCTTTCTTTCCCTCCTTCTTCTCTTCTCGTTCCCTCCCTTTGTTCTCTCCTCTTGCGCTCTCTTTC